TTTGCCATCTTCTGGCAACGCCAATCACTGCAATGCACATCTTCCGACTCCCTTTCGAGCGCATTGTTGTCGGCGGCGTTTGAGGAGCTGGATTCGACGGTCATTCTGAACTTTCGCGAGGGACACGAGGCAACGATTTGCAAATGCGCGCAACAAACGAGTACAAAGGGGCCACGGTGGGTGGCTGCGTCGGATCCGAGAGGTGTGTCGAGGAAGACAAAAAAGACAGGAGCGGTCTCGGCAAGAGTTTTGCCAGTTGGACGGGCCCAGAGAAGACGAACAGGACAAGATTACGGCCGAGGAGGAAAAAAAGAGTGTGGGTATTTGTAAAGAGCGGTCGTGTCTCGCAGAGCGAGCAAGAGGAAGCGGTGAGCTGCGATAGCGGTAGTGATGGTGGTGGGGGCCAGTGTCAAGGTCAGGCAATCACACCGCTACCGACTTTGGCGATAAAGTCTGCCGAGTAGATGGAAGAGTTTTCTTGACGACCGAGGGTCTGTTTACGATTGGCGAGAAGAACATCGAGGTGGTTGTAGCCGTCGCAAACGACGTGATTTCCGAGATCGCCGAATTGACCTCCGACGGCGAGACCTTCGCTGCCCACGACGTTGAGAGTGGGTCGTTTGGTGTAACCGTCCAGATGCAGCGCCTTGGGCATCACATTTTTCGAGCCGAGGTTTTGAAAGAGGACGTCGGTGGTGGTGCGCGTTGCGTAGTAGTGCTCGGTGAAGTCCAGAGGTGCTTCGGAGAGAGATCGAGAGAGGTCAGAGATGGATGAGACTTCAAATTTGGCCTTGGTAAAGGGCTGCCCATTGTTCGCCTTGTCCACATTGGAGCCGTCTTCTTTGATCTGATCGTAGTCGAGCCACTCGTACAGCGGTCCGTTACCTTGACCTAGGAAACCAGCGTCGGAGGGTACGCCGAGCGGGTATGGACTGGAGAGTGGCAGCACCGAAGCAGCTTGGGATCCGTTCGACGGCAGAGCGAATGGCGAAGCTCCGACCGGGAAACTCCTCTCTTCGATCTTTCCTCCCGTACCGAACCCGACGGAAGCCTGGAGGAAGGCGAAACCTTGGCTACGGTCAGAAAGAATCGCTCCTACCAGCGCTTCGTTGGTCGCGCGAAGATTGAAAGCGGATGGAAAAAAGGTGGCGAATTGAGCTACGGTTTTGGAGAAGAAGAATTGAGCGGCAGAAGTAATGGTCGGTGTGCGCGGCAAGCCCTTGACGTCGGCTTCAGCTTTGGGCGCCACCACTGCCCGACCTCCGACCAAGCTGAGCAGCTGGGTGGTTTCGGAGTTGAGAACGACGGGCAAAGCGGTCAAGAGCGAACGAGGAAGGATGCCAGATCTGAAACCTGCCTGAGCCACTTCGAAACCAGCGTCGATGATGGGCTGAATGATCTTGGCTAGACCTTCGGGAATGTTGGCAGGTCCAAATTTGATAGTGACGACCGTGTCGTAGCCGATGAAGCCTGCTGCTTGGTTGTAGCCTGCATCGCCAGTCGTCTTGACATCCCCATCGCGGTCATAGGCAGCGAAGAAAGCGGTCAATGGTCCACCGAGACTGTGACCCGAAGCGTAGTGCTTGGTGGCTCGGTAATTGGCATCTGGCAACTCGCGCGTCACGACATCGTACCAGTCGCTGGAAGTCTGCTCTACGCCAAGTTCGGCAAGAATAGCAGTGTTGGCATCCGTGTTGCTGTAGAAGCCGGCAAATTTGCGACCAGCGATGGCAGCTTTGTTGTAGTAATAGTCGAAACCCGTCTTCAGGTTCTTGCCCTGAACGGCGGCAAAGACACCTGCAAGCGCAAAGAAGGCAGGCGGCAATACACGTCAGCATGCGCATCGTGCTGCAAATGATGCAGTGCGCAACGCACCAGTCTGATCGTCCAGGCAGTTGGCACGACGGTCGAGGGCCCAAAATTCGACGTTGAGATTGTGCTTCTCCTTGGCATAAAAGACGACATTGCGAGCGAGTTGATCAGCGCTCGAAGCTCCCGCAAGCGTGCCGGGCATGAACGTCTCTACTCGATCAGCTTTGAGCGGGTCGGTAGGCCCGTCGGCGTGCCTATAACGAATGTAGCTGATGTAATCGCACTCTGGAAGGTGTGCGGTGGGGGTCTTGATGGGGACGAAGAGAGAGACTACGGATTGTTTGACAAAGGTGTCTTTGGAAACGGATGTGAAGGGCGTCTCGACTCGCGCGGTACCGTACTTGACTGGAGTAAGAAGGCCAGGCAGATACACCGTCGATGTGCCTGCGGGTGCGGCCGAGATGAGGCCAGAGCCTACGCACATGGCCAGCAGCACTGCCGCAAGAGAGAGCTTCATTTTGGCAAGGAGTGAAGGGATGAACGTGGAGGGGGAGTGGGGAAACGGGAGGGTGGAAGGGAGTAGGAGGTATCAGGATGGACGGAGAGGAGGGAGGCAAAGAGGGTGAGGGGACTGAGCGTGAGGGTGGGTACCTCAGATCACACACATTCGAGACAGTGATTCGCATACAGCTATCCAGACAGTCACGAGTCACGAGGAGGAGAACAACGTTGTGGATCAAGCTAGACCATGCCTCGCTCACCAAATACTGGCACACCGTCTTGAGTCGTCGGAACGTTGATGACTTGCGTCAATATGACCGCACCCGAGGAAATGCGGGGAAACAAAGCCTCTTTTGGGAGCAGCAAGACTATCCTGTTAGGGCCACAGAGGCCACAGTCGAATCCGCATGCGCGGGTATTCAATGTGAATGCAAGTCAGTGTGAGTCGTGAGTGGGGCATGATGTGCATCGGGCCTTTTTTATCAAGCTTTTGCCCTGCCGCATCTCGCAGCACCCTTTCACGCATGCTGTGGCGTTCCGTCATGAGTCAATAAATACCCCATCTCTACAAAAGTCATGACGCACGTCAACGCTCTCGTTCGGAAGACTCGTAGCGAGGAAGGGTGAGTGATGAGTAACCGCTTTGCAAAATTTGAACTGAACATTCACTTTCTTCTTTATTCCTCACCCCTGACTCGTGCTCGCGCTTTACATGGTCACGCATCGCTTGTGCAATCCAGAGTCTGGGTCTCAGCAGTCACGAGTGTTCAGGTATGCGGCGGATCGCAGCTGAGCTGGGCGAGGCAGGCCGACGTTGTGCCGCAATTTGGGTCCTTCGTGGTCTGACATGTTTGCGATGTATGCGATCCTCAACGGGTCGGCGTTTGCGCGTGTGCTTTCCTGATGAGACTCACGACCTTCTTCGATCAAGAATCCGCCAATCACGACGGGGGCTCCTGCTGGTTCAAGCGCGCCAGAAGCTAAGAAGATCCGCATGGATGGGCACCGGAATTTGAAATGGGCAAGAAAAGTCAACAAACAAAAAGCGGGAAAATCACGAGTGTGAGTCAAGAGTGAGAGGGTAGGGAACAGCAACTAGCAGGCAGGCAGGCAGGCGGTAGCGGAGAGGCGAGGAGGCGGGAGGAAAAGCGAGCCGTTTGAAATTGTCACATTTATTCGCTGATTAGTGGCCTGCACGAAGAAGGGGGTCTGTTAGCGTGGGTAGGCTGGCCACCCAAACCCCGCACCCACCGCACGCGAAGCTACAAGGAGGGTACATTTTCCCGCGCGTAACAGATGTTTCCGCGTTTGCCGTTGTTTTGCTTCCGAAGGGAGAGAAGCGGAGTCACCAGCTCGTTCCATC